TTTTTTTTCTTCTTTTTATATTTAAATTGCTTTTGTTTTTATGAAACGTTAGTCACAACTCTTTTATGCTGTACATTATATGGTCTGCTTTTGTTGGTAAAAAACGGGAAAAATAAAGTAATACACAAAGTGGTTATTTTTTTTTTAAACTTTGTTGGTATTTTTAGTATGTAGTAATCAAGTACCTATTTTGTAAACCACTTTTTCGATACGCTAAATTACTGTACAGCAAAACAAATAATGTAAAGTTTTCCTTTGTCTTCTTTTTTTCGCTTGCGTAAAAGATTCCAAAAACTCATATGGTACTTAATTTTAGCCTGTAAAACTTTAATCAAGGTAAAAAATAAGCAAATATTAAAATTTTGATTTATTTGGCCAAATTAAACCATTCTTTTGTAAAAAAACTTTTACTGCCAAGTAAAAAGAAAAACCAATTTTAGTTAGTGCTTCTTTTTTACACTTAAATAAAGCTTATTTTTTTATCAAATGAAATATACTTGTAGAACTGAGATTAGGCCGTAAGCAAAATTGAACAGTTATAATGAAGTAAAAAAGTAATGTTAATTTCAAAAAAAAAAAAAATAGATGGTAAAAGCGCTGAAATCTCCAAAAAAAACAGTAGCAAAAAAATAACCTAAGTAAAGGAAAAACTTTGATTACATCAACGCTAAAGAAGATAATAACCCAAGATAGCTTAACTTTAGAGCAACGCATTTTCTTCTGTGTCAACTTTTGTGGGGGTTTAGAACAAATTGTACGTAGCTGAATTATCTCTGTTAAAAAATTGGTATTGTTTTCTTAGTATACCAATACATATTGTATTATGACAAATTTATCTAGCAAATTGCCTTTTTGCAAACGATTTTGATTAGAAATTGCTTCTTCATAAAAATTTCTGACATCTAAAACATTATTGGTTGTTATGAAGATGCCTGTTCTGGTACAACCAATTTATTTTCTAAAATTTTTGTTTTTTAAGCACAACATCAGCTAAGACTCTTCAAATTTAAAAGTTCAAGTAAACTAGTGGCAAACAAAAAAAGAACAGTAGCATAACTATCACATTTTCTCGACACAATTTTGACTTTTTCATAACTAGTTTTTTTTCTGTTTGAAAGCACTTAGTAAATAAGATAGTGATATCTCAGTTTTTTTCCTAAAATACTGTGTAGAAATATTTGTAGAAATTAAATTTTTACTCTCTAATTAAGTTTTACTATTTCTTAAAGTTTAAAAAGTTATATTTGTACAATTATATTTTTTGTGGCGTTTCTTCACCATATTTGTGTGCTGTACCATTAACATAGCTTTTTCATTTTGATAATTTCTAAACTTGCATATTATGAGATACAGAACATGGTGAAAACCCATTCAGAACTTTCTGAAAAGTTTTAAACAACAAGATTTTATTTGTTGAGTGAAAAATCTGGTTATTGTTTTTTAAACTTGACGTATTAAACTATGAAATTAACAAAATCAAATATTTTACTCAAAAATTAAAAAGAATAGTTTGTTTTTTACTATCTGGCAAAATCAGACTCGTTGCTTTAGTACTTATGTTAACTGATGCATTGTAATTGGGAAGAAATGCATACGTGAACAAGTTTGGATACGCATAGCAATAAGTCAGCAAAATAATAAATATTTCAAATTTTTAAGGTTTCTGTGAAGCAGCAGATTTCTTCCTCACTAAATGAAACACTGATTGAGGTACTGAGCTATGGCAGACATTTTTCCAGAAGATGAACCACCTCCAAAAACTCTACAAACTGTTGAAGAAACAGACGTAGAATCTGCAGCGAAAGAAGAACCGAAAGCAGAACCTGAAACAGCTGCAGAACCTTCACCAAAGAGTTAACGGTTCTCTTCTGAATTTAGTGTTTTTTTTCAATGTTTTAAACATAGAAAAAAAGTGACTTTTAGCTGAAATTTTATTTTGCAATTATTCGTTTTGCTAAAGTTACTGGTTCAGTATTTATAGTCGAGCTAATATTTTTTGTAAATCTGTAGAATCGGAAGAACGAAAAAAATCCGCACTGCTATCACTGTTAAAATGGGCACCTTATGCCGTAGTCGTTCTGTTGATTGCTGCCGGAATTCTGATAATTTTATTGTATACAAATATATTGGGACAGAAGGAACAGAAGAAACTACCTGCCTATGTTTATGCAGTTAAAATTTTTTTTCTGTACAAGTCATCAAAATACAAAAAAATTTTTTTTTTCAGATTAAAGACTTAAAAATCAGAATTTACTGCTCAAAGTGTAATCAGCATAAATCGTACCAAACAGAAAATAATGAAAAATAAGAGTGTAAAGATAAATAAATAAAAGCTTTTGTTTTGTGAAATTTTTATCAAATTGTTTCACCAATTTTAGATTTGGCGACATGGTGACCGAGCGCCAAACAAACTTTTTTCACAGATTCCACTTCCAGAAAATGCTTTTCCTAAAAAACTGGGAGAACTTACAGAGGTAACTTGACCATAGACGAAATAAAATCAAAATGAAATATTATTTGTTTTTAGTTTTTCTTATAAGTTGTTTCTGAAAACCATAAGTGATAGAGTTTTGATAACTAAATTGTGGAAATTTAAAATGATACTATCATCTCCACGTACCTGCAGCACAGTTGAGCAGAATCTAAGGTCATTGCCAGGTGGCTTTTCTGCCATTAACAATTTACATCAGAAGCAAATAACATTATTCCCAAAAATTACAAAGGTTGTCTACTTCAGCAAAACCCAAAAGGTTTATCTCGTTATACCAGTAACAATGAAAAAATTTTTTCAGTACAATATTTTTCTTTGACTATTTCATCTGAGCAAAAATTTAAGAAGCATAAATTATTGAAGTACAATTGGCTTGTTAAACGTGTGCGCAGTAAAAAATTCAAAATTATTCTTATATAAAAACCGGAAAAACTTTAAAAAATGCTTAACATCTGAAAAATAGCGGATATTGATAACGGTTCCACTCGGTTCTTGGAAGCAGATTTCGCAGACAGCTATGATTTCTTATTTTGAAATGTCTGTTACCGTTTAAAGACAGTAGTTTTTTAGTAGCCTCACCTTGCATCACATAATTCTTGATTTTATCAGAAAAAAAATGTTAGTCTGCGACATGTTGTAGAGAAGAAATTTATTGAAAAATATGTTTTCTTTTTTTTCAATTTTAGAAGCAAATTTATTTTCGCAGCTTTCCAATTTTTTTCTGCTGTATCTGTCCATCAATTTGAGTTAGTTGAGGGGTCAAAAACCGCAGCATTTTACAAAATTTTTGGCATTGATATACTCATTTATCGACATTAATAAACTGACATCAAAGTTCGTACACCGTTCCGTTTAGATTGGTGAAGAGCAAGCACAAAAGTTAGGACGACAACTTCGGGATTGTTATTTTACGACAAGTATTTCTGCAGACAAAGTAACTATAAATATAATAAATACAAAATTGTTATAACTGACAGTATTTTGAAAGCAAATAGCATACGAATGCTGAAAGTATGTAGAAAAAATGCTTGCTATAACCGCTGTTGACTAATAATACTGATCCAGTTTTTTAAAAATTTTTTTCAAATGTTCTGTGGTGACAAATTGTACTTTATAATTCTGTTATTTAACTACATTTTGAGGTATTTATTCGAAGTACAAATATTACCCGTACTATTGCAACCGCAAAAAATGTGATTAAGGAGCTTCAGTTGGATGTCGAAATACATCACGCCGTTGAGATGAAAGAGGATTATGTATGAATTTGGAAGTTACTTTTTCCGATACTTAATCGTTGGTTATTTACCGGCAGTAAACACTGGCAATTAGCTAAACAAATTCTTAACATTTTTTCCCCTACAATAATGTACTTTTTTGTTGTCCTTTATTTTTGTAGAACAATTACAAGAACTTTTTTCTTATCCAACATGTAAATAAATATATAAGCAATAAAAAAAAATTATGCAGAAGAAATTATTGTTTTTTTTTTTTGTACAGTTACTTAATTTATAGTTTATACGCACTTTTTTTCCAGCAATTCAATACACATTTTGCTACACACAAAGTAATTTCTAAAACAACACGTTTTTTTTTTTTTT